TTGGACGGCCGTCCATTTATGAGAGTCTTTTATCATGTCTTACGTGACGACGTCCGAATCAGAGGTCAAGTATTTCGGTGCAATTTTTCAGTACCCATTTTGGTGTCTGTAGCATCGCTGTTATTTAACATATTCAGTTACAGTTGATGTTTTCTCCAATTAAAGCAAGTGCCTATTTTTTTGTGTTGTCTCCATTAGCTAACTTCCAAATTTAATGTATTGTTGCAAATTAACGATTTGTAAGTATGTTATAGGTATTTTTAGCTTAACTTAAATGCATACCATCTGCCATTCAATATTATTGATTATTCTATGTTGCTACGTGATTTTGACACAACAACTTTACAGTGGTAAATATTAAGAAATCAGTGAGATAATTATTAAGGTGATTGTGGTACTTATTCCAAGTAGCATGCAAAAAACGTTAAACAATAAATGAACAGTTGACTTTTTATGTGGTTCAGATGCTTAAAGCGAATCCTGCATCTATTGTTTTCTATGAGTATGTTCCTGGTCGTTAACCAGATTACAAGGTTGCGAACTGCGATCTGGTATTACAAGTGTTGGTGTTCTAAGGATTCTCTAATGTCAAGTCGTTATTTCTCGTAGCATGTCTTGTTATTTTTTTTGTTGAATTCAATGGATCTGATCCTGATTTTGGAGGGGGAGCTGCCTATTTATTTTCGTTGTGCTCAAGATAATGATTACAAACCCTGTAAGGGGTTAGTGTTGTGCAAATCTCTCCTATCTTCTCATTGGTTGAGAATTAAAATAATATCTTTAAATAAAATAGGGCTGGATAGGAGTGTGAACCAAGGGAAACCTGCATGGGGTCACGTGCGGTCAAGTGACCCCACTTGGGTTTATTTTTTAAATTTTTTTTTCAATTTTGCCCCATAAAAAACTACATTACAAAATTACAGTAAATTAAATTAATTAAAAATTTTGACTTTCTCTAATAATATATTTCCCCTTTTTTTCTCCAATCCCAACTTTTTCTCTTATCCAACGTGCCCTATCCATCTCTCAATCCTATTTTTCTCTAATATATATTAAAATTTATGCAATCATTTAATTTTGGTTAGTCTATTATTATGAAGATTTACTTAACTTACAAATGAACTTTCCAAGCACTACAAAAAAAAGATCAAGATATTGTAATGCTATGAATTTGGTTGAAGCATGTAAGCAAGCTTACAATTGATGGGGATAGGGATGAGAGAGTTTACTTACAAAGTTTGTTATTTTTTTGCCAAACATGACATTGATATTCAAATATGGATGACAAATTTTTTATGCAAGGGCGATCACAACGGAAGACTAAAGGTATCAAACAATGCATCATTACCGTATTGAAGTATTTAGTTGTCGAATAGTAGCTTCAAGAGTTGAATAATCGTTTCAATGAGATAAACATTAATTGCTTATTTGCTTGGCATGTTATGTCCAAATGAAAATTTGTTTGCTTTGATAAAAAAAAATTAATGCACCTTGCTTAACTTTATCTAGAAGATTTTTCTAACTTAGAACTTATAGCGCTTGACTCTCAATTTGTATTTGCATTGGATATATGCTCTAATGTTAAATTTATGGAATTGAATGAGATTGGAGATCTTGCAAGAGTGATGGTTGAAACTAAGAGGATAGAGTGTTTCTATAGTTTATATGTTGATAAAAATAACATTGATTTTACTAGTCGTCACTGCTAGTGTGAGAGAGCATTTTCAGCTAAAATGTTGTGAAGAATCGTTTGCGAAATAGAATGAGTGATTAAGGTTGAATGATAGTTTAGTTATGGTAATAGAGATAATATATTTGATAGTATTGATAATAAAGCATTATACAATATTTTCAAAAGATAAAATCATCGAGGGCAATTATAAATTGTAAAAACCTTCCCCAGTCAGGTATCCTCTGAATACCTCAATGAGAATCCAGAGACTTCGTCTGGGGAATGAGTTATATTAGAAATCTTGTGCAAAAATAAATAATGTCTGAAACATTACTGTAAGATGTACCGCAGCATCAAAATTTGTCCCTTCAAAATATAAATAAAAAACTTAAATTCATTTGGGCATCAATCAATCAAAAAATATTAATGTCATTTTCATTCATATGGTGGAAGCTTCAAAAATGTGTTTCAAAAACATTCGTCATTTACATTATTTACATCAAGGTGATAATAAATCATCCCCCTCACGTGTAGCCCCATTGTCTTAGCATCCTGTTCTGGTTTACCACAAAGCAATCAAAAATGAAAGGGAGAGCGTATCACTAATAAAGAATGATTCATTCATTCTAAATGTGATTTGACCTTCATTTAAACATATTATTAACACACTACTTATCTTACAATAGATATACTTCTTTTCTTACTAATTCATATGCTTTTCATCATTTTATCTATGACTATAAATATCAATGTGGTACACACTACAGAGTATTAAACATAGTACACACACATCACATGTCATGATATAACATCTAATATCACTAAATATTATCTAACATGAGTTATAAATCATCCCATGATGTAATAACATCGTAACTCATGTAATGCAACTAAATGCATATGAATCATTTAACGTCTAGTCGATCGGACTTTCTTAGCGTCTTAAGCACTTTATATCATATAGCCTCAAATCATCTAGAGCTCATATCATCGACAGTTGTGCTTACGCGTTATTAGCATCTAACATAATTCATCTTTCCTCAACAGGTATACGAGGATATGCTTATGCGTTATTTAGCATCTAAAGCATATATTCATTCCTCTCATCTAGCCTAAATTCATCTAGAGATCATATCTGAGAGGCGGCTTACGCGTTATTTAGCATCTAAAGCATAGTTATCTTCCTAAACATGTATACGAGGATATGCTTACGCGTTTTTATCGTGTCTAGATGCATCTCTAAAATCTTATGGCATATAAATACAGTTTTAGTGAGCTTAATACTTTTGATTCATATGGATTATCAATCCATTTACATTACCTCTTGCTCACCTTCATCATCTTAAAACATATATTACATGCATCTTCATGCCATTTCATAACATTAATCATGCATTCGCTCCATGACTATGTATATCTTTCAAAGATATATCTTTCAAAGATTCTAACTGACGGGTAAACATTATACACGGCTTAATTACAACGATACATTAATAATCAATTCATAATCATAAGAATTAATTATCTTAATCTTAAACTTTAACAACCAGAAGTTTATTCTCAGGCCATTTTCCCCATTTCTAAAATGAATTGGATCTTGGCCTAATCCTAAAAGTGATAGGGCTATGTCTTAAATTTTAATCCTTAAAGACCATTCATTTTGGTTTTTATAACTCAAGTTTGGTCAAAATACTGAAACATGTTAACATAACCTCTAAACTTACCAAATTCGATTTTTTTTCATATTAACCCATGCATATCAACTTCAATCGACATTAACAAATATGTCAACTTATGGATCAATTAAACCTCCCTTAATAGTGTTTAACATTTAAAGGAAGGATAAAACCTCACTCCCATGATCATTGCTATAACATTGTAAGTTAATGCAAACCACACATCAACACTTCTAATAGCAACCATTTAATACCATTTAGCCTCCAATACTACAAGTTTTGACAATCAACATCAATACTTCATTTTCTTCAATTAAACATACAACTCATAAAACCTAAATGGCAATAACTTCATGTTAATGAGTCAATTACACTTGTCATCAACAAATATGCCTTAAAGCCTAATTAAGGTTTCATTAAAATATACAAAACCTAGCAAATCCTAAAGTCATGGGAGTTTCCTTACCTTTTTAAAGATTCCCCCACCAAATCCTTGCCTTTACTTCTTTTACATCATTACTACATATATAACGTTAAACAACATCTACCCAAATCTTTAAATCCATCAAAACTAGGGTTTTTATTTGTACCTTAAACCTCTCAATTTAAGATCGAGGCTCCTATCTTGTTCTCTTGAAAAATTAGGCAAAACTTCTTTAAAACTTAGAGACATAAGTTGTTTTCATGGAGGATTTGAGAGAAAATGGAAGAAATGTTGAAGAAATGATATCTCCCTTGGCTTGAACGATTTCCTCTCATTTATAGGAAAAATTTTCATTATTTACCAAAATTATGCTGTTGGCCCAATTATTTTAATTATATAACTCAAGTCCGATTCTTCATATAAGGGATTTTGGTCTTGGCACTAAAACTAATATACTTAATTATGCCATTAAATGCAATTAAGCCTACTCATCCTTGACTTTTAAATGCTTATCCATAGGCAAAAGAATATTTTGCCCTTAATACCCTTTTATGGATATACTGTTCCAAATGAATTGCTATTTTGCTCTTAGTTAATTTTATGCTTTTTAAATAAAATTAACATCTAAATGACTATTTAGGTTGTGAGCAACCTTTCGACATCTGGGTATTACTAAATGTATTAGTTAATGAGATTTTATAATACAAATATTTGTGTTATTTATTTAGTTAATTGTACTTTACTCTTTGACCCCCCAAGTTTCATTCCTAGGTCTGCCCCTGGTGTGAACCAAATTCATTCACAGACAAAATACTTGAGGTCCGTTGATATTGACAGTATATTCTTCTTATCTTCAAGACGTGGACAGATCCTGGATAGTGTAAAATTTTCTGACTATGATTGGTGCTCGCTGACCATCAACATACGTTAGCTCTTATTTTAGACATAACACACAATCATATGTTATATTGAAAATTCGGAGTCCTTTTTTTATTTATAAAACTACACCTCATATTTAGATATTAAAAAAAAAAACCCTCATTTCTGTCACTCTACAAAATTAAAGGATAAAAGTCCATGGTTGAGGCTGAGGAGAGAGCAACCTTAAAATTGGAAGGGTGTAATAGATGGGACGACAGAACTCTCTCATGTAGACTATTCAACGCAGGAAAGCTGAAATAATAAAAGTGAAACAGACAAAAAAAGAGATTAAGAAAACAGTGAGATGATGGCCTCTCCGGCTCTCCTAGAGGCTAAGACTCTTAGTCATCATTGGGCCTACATACCCACACGAAAGAAAGAACTAGATTTCCGAGGGAATAGTGAGTATTTGGTTAGCGGATTCAAAATATTCAAGTTGAACATTTATAATAAAATTTGATGGGGGTAAAATTATAAATACATAATATTAAATTTATAAACAAATTTTACAAAGATTTATATACAAATTAATGTGACATAAAATGAATGAAAGAGTAAATATAAAAAGTAAAAATCTCATATCACTTTTTATTTATTTATTCCACATCAATTTTTATATTAAATACTTCGTAAGACTTATTGTACATGTAACATTATCTTATAAATATTAATAACTATTTTTTTTTAAAGTTGAATAGGTAATATAAATTTAATAAATCAAAATTATAAAAATATAAAAATAATCTATTTTTTATTTTTTCCAAAAATTTGAGTGACTTCCATTGAACTCAAATTTTATAGGGTGATTAAGTCTTTAGATCCGCCGCTCCTCCACCCTGAGTACTACCATCGCTCACCATAAAGTATAATAATCCAATCCCTACTCTTGAATCATATAATATAACCCCCACCATAATAATATGCTGCCTCTTATCCCACTTTTAAAAATTTATATTCAAAGTGCCAACCATTTATTTCCACTCAACTTAAAATGGATCAAAATCTCAATATCTCCTTCATATAAAAAAATTAATTCAAACCATCATTTGTAACTAAACTTAATGTGGGTTATAGCTCCACTCAAAGTCCAATTGATCTATGTCCTAAACCACCACTAAAGTAGGTCCATGTACCCAACACCTGATACGACGACCGTAGTAATCGATCACTAAACCCCGAGGAAATCACGGATCTCACCGCTCCACTAAAACTTCAATGGCCGCTCCTTTGCTACTCAGGGATCCGCTCCTGCGCCTTCGGCTGGCCGCCAGGCTCCTCGCCCCGCCCGAAAAACTATATGTTCAGCCACATCTTCCGAGCCGACTCAGCGGACGAGGAACGTAATTCTGAAGACACAAAACCACCGCAACAGTTCTTTACCATGAAGGACCCTCCCAACTACAGCAAGTGGACGATCCTGATTACAGGAAGTGGGAAGATAAAGAGATGAGATTCTTCGAGATATCCAGCCTATAATGTTTTTGCCAAAGAGATTATTCACTCCGACAGGTTAACCTCTATCGTATATAATATATATATTTTTGGGTGTGTGTGTTGGTGGTTTAGTGAATGTCTTACTGGTGTTACTGAGCTTAACTGATTAATTATGAGAGCAAATGCATGTTTTGTACTGTTTTAGGCTATGTGTATGCGATTCTTATTGAAAGCTTAAATTTATTTTGAATCAGTAACACTATTTAGTCATATGTTATTTATCAGGATCATTTGTGTTAAGCGTGCTAATATCTAATAAATCAAGTGCTATAAAATGTTAAGGACAGTGTGCTTTTTATTAGGTTAGGATACTGTCACTTGACATGATGAAACGAAAACGTAGTACACGTTCATTATCTGAAGTCAACTCCTAATTGGTACTTATCTCAAAACGCTGGTTAGAAGTGGTTGAGTTAAATAATGTTAAATAATTATTAAATATTATATTTTGATCCTAGCATGTTCAAGAAGAGATAATAGGCTAAAATTTCTTGTTTAGAAAAGAAAACTGTGGAGTGGCTATTTTTTTCTGAGCTCAGGGTTACATTCTGCTAATTGCTCAAAATATCTTGTTAAACGGATGAAAACTTCAAAGGGAATCAGATTATGCTGAAAACCAGGCTGCTTCCTTCTCCACTTTAAATTTTTTTAGTTGTCATTATTTAATTGGCATAAAAATTTGATAACAATGGGGTTCAATTTCTTAGAAGCCAGCCTTCTTTGGATCCATGGTAGTTTTTTAACCAATATTAGATTTTGAAAGATTGATGTGTGGCTTCATGCTCTATCAAGTTCCTCGTCATAGTGAATTTAGCTTGATTTTGTATAAGAAACTAGAAACTAAATAAATAAAATACTTTCAATTTTTAAACTTTTCACTGGACTGACAACTATAAAGGAACCAAGCAACTTCATATCCTGATATTTAAATAATCTCATAGAAATTTGTGATGCCATCAAAATTTTGTCCTGAGGTTGATCATAATATTCCCAATTCACAAAAATGTGTAGTAAGCATAATTTTTCAGATTTATTTGGCAGTTATCAAGGAGACTGTTGAATAATGCTTACTGGTGGTTGAAATTGGAGCTGATGGTCTTTGATGTATAGAGATTAATTACTCTTTATGAAACAATTATGTCTTCATCTTAAGTTATAATGCTATATTTGATTATATTTCCCGCTTCTAGGTATATGGACGGAGAACGTCTAACAGCAGAAGATGAGAGAGCTGTGGTAGAAAATCTTCTTGTTTATCATCCACATTGTGAAGATAAAGTTGGATCCGGTCTTGATTCCATTATGGTAAGTCAAAGTTTGCATAATCTATTATATAATTATGAGGCCGTTTGGATGGGGTTAATATTTGATAACTGGGGTAATATTTTTTTTAAATTGAGTAGATGACGATGTTTGGTTGATTTATAAAAGATAATTCCCTAAGTAATCCAATTTTGTGTCCCATGTTGCCCTCTAAACAGTTGAGCATTTGGTTCAAATTAGCATTATATTTGTTAATATTTACAAAACACTCAATTCACTCATATAAACCCTTTTGTCCTCACTTTTTAAATTTTCCGGACGACATTGCCCTTGTTATTGTCATTATAACCCTTTTGTCCTCACTTTTTAAATTTTCCGGACGACATTGCCCTTGTTATTGTCATTATTTACAGAAATGCCACAAAATGTTGTTGTACCTAGATCTAGCCATCACCGCCAGCCATCGTCAACCGTCGATGGAGACTGCCAAAAGTCGCCATAATGGCGTACGACTGGCCGTATATGGACGACCGTGCGTCGGTGAGGCCCTTTTCGGTCATGGATCATAGATACATGGTCAGAAATGGCCAGATCGTTTCACGGCCAGATCTATGGCCTTGACTGGCCGTATATGGTCGGCCGTGCAATGGTAAAACCCTTTCCGAACATGGATCACATATAAATGGTCGGAAACAACGAGATCTGGCCGTTTCACAGCCAAATTTGTGGTATTGCCTTCAGCTGCCCGCGGTGGTGGCTAGCTACCGGCAGTGGCTTGGGGTGCGTAGGGGTTTTTTTGTTAAGTTTAAACCGTTTTTGGTTGCTAGGGTGTTTTTGCTAAATCTGAAAAATAAGGGGTTAAAAGAAATTATTCAAAAAATACTATTATATTAACATATAAAAATGAGGGCAATTTAGTAATCTATATAACATAACCACCCATTTATTCTCCCAACTAAATATATTATTTACCTATTTATTCGAACTAACCAAACATATTTTCTAAATATTCACAGTAATCTTCAAGGTGATCTTTATTTCCATTAATATAATATATCTTTATAATAAAACATTATATGATCCAAACGCCCTCTATTGAATATTTTATTTTACCTACTGTAATGAATCTTTTGTGCTTGCTATTTTACAAATTATTTTACTTTCAATCTCCATTTTGGTCAATTGGGAGTTGCAAAAACAATTCAAACAATGTCATCTTCAAATACTCTGCATTCTTCTGCATTAATCCTTTACATTTTTTATCAATTAAATCCTCTGTCAAATATTGGTCACCTTGCCTATTTCTTGCAATTGAAGCCCTTGTTCTTTTTGTTCCTTTATCCTTTTTGCATCTTTGATTTTTGATATTCAAGCTCCAAGGAAAGGGGCGGTTGTTGCTCGTCATCCATTAGTTTGTTTGTTGTTTCTGCTCATCTTAATAAGTTTAGGAAGATACTTTAAAAAGATGGTTTTAAATGTATTTGGCCTGTCTTACAGGCAAGCTAAGTGTCTGTCTGACCTGAGTCCTGTATCAGTTACCTTACTATGGATCAGCTCATCGAGGGACTGCTGTCAGCTTGAGCTTCAACTGGACTTCAATTAAGCCAGACAATCAAAACACTCATATGATCCTCATCAATTTCGAAGATTCACCTCTGGCAGGACTTTGACCTGAAATCTTAAAGTTTTAACTCATGTACTTACTAATTGAAGTAAGATCTTTCTTTCTGACTAGGATGAATTTAAATCAATCGAACCACAAACATAAGATACACACACATGCATGTTTGCACACACGCGCTTAAACATGCACACAGACAGAGACACATCCACTTACCTTAGATCAAGTGAACTTCTGATTGTTTTAATTTTAGTAAAGCTTAGCCAAGCTGAAACTGTGGGAGTGGTGCTAGCTGAGCCCAATTTACATTCCTATCTGCACGTTTGAGACAGTTTAGGTACAACTTGGGCAGTTTAGTTGCATAACTGAGTTTTATTGTTCATCTTTGACTTCTTGGGTACAGGATTCTTTGAATTTCCCTGCAGACATATTTTAATTTGTCCCCTCTTTATGTGGGGTAGAAAATTTTGACTTTCAACATAAAAAATTAGAACTTTAATTCACGGATAAATCAGGTGATTACCTCTGATTGGTTTTCTTCACAAAGCTTGGTAAGATTTGGTGGGTTTTTGTCTCACATTTGATTGGCATGTAGATCTGTAGACAGAAATTTTTGCCTGCAGTCTGTCTCGCCTCCATTATTTGTCATTTGGAATCCTCTTTTCCCTATATATTTCTCACCTTTTTTTTTCTCTATTACTATTTGGATCTCTTCACAGTTTGGGATTTGTTAGTAACAGAACTGATTATTGTATTATTATAGGCAAATTTATTTAGGTACATGTGTTGGATATAGATGGCTGTCCTGGATGGCTAAATTTTCTCACTTCAGCTTATTTTTTGTCTGTTATGAGATAAAAGAATTATTTTCTCTATATGAAACAAATTAATAAGTCTTTTTAACTTCTCTGAAGGTTGATCGACATCCTGAATACAGGCATTCAAGGTGCCTGTATGTTGTTAGAACCGATGGTGGATGGATAGATTTCTCCTACCAGAAGTGTCTTCGAGCATACATTCGAGATAAGTATCCATCCTATGCTGAAAGATTTATTCGAGAACATTTTAAACGTGGTAGTGGTTGATATTTGTTAATGCGGTTGCTGATTCCGGTCTTGAACTATGATTTTGGTGCCAGTGTAGACTGATGTGTACTAAAAGATTTAAAGTTTTCATGCGATTCGGGGATGGGTCCATGTTATGGGTAATCTGCATACAATATATAGCCTAGATCTACAGATTGTCAATGTAGTAGATAATTGTTGACTGGCACTTGAAGTTTTGGACAAAGAAAATGATTGAAATGAACATCACTTTTTTTTTTTCTTGGAGCATCGCTCTTGTTGGATTTGCATGTATATTTTGCTCATTTGGTCCTGAGAATCCAATTTTTATAATTTTGTAGGGATTTTCAGATTACTAAATTCTATTTGTAAAACCTTTTTTTGACCGACGGGTCAATTTCAATTCAGGATTAGAATTTGATGGTTTATTACACATTGCAAACACTCTATTACCTCCAATTATATAAACCATCTGAAGGTCATAATAACAGTCAACCCCTATCATACCTGTTCCAAGAACAACATATTTATGTACTTATATATTCCTTTTCCTGCAAGTTGTAATGTTATGATGGATAGTGTTTTCTGCTACTTTGACGTCTCTTGAGGCAGAAATGTGATGACATTAAATATCGAAGAGTAAACGACATGTTCCCACCCGAGGTTTGATGAAATCCAAAAGTAATACTCCTGGTTTCATTTATTTCAGATTCCCACCCTTAAACTAACAGTGTTAATCACTGTTGGATTCTAAGGAGGGCAATTACCAAACTACCCTCCCATCTTCGTCTTCTTCTTCATCTCCCATTTCTTCTCTTCTGCCGCTTCTCTCTCCCTTCCATAGCCACAGCCACAACCACGCTCCTCTCTCCCTCCCGAAACCCCAAAGTCACCACCACCACCACCACCACCCACCGCCATTCCACCCATCTACCGCCATTGCAATCCCTCACCACCACCCGATTTCGGTCCCGCTACCCTCCCATCTTCGTCTTCTTCTTCATCTCCCCTTTCTTCTCTTCTGTTGCTTCTCTCTCCCTGCCACAGCCACAACCATAGCCACAACCAAGCTCCTCTCTACCTCCCGAAACCCCAAAGTCACCATTACCATCACCACCACCACCACCCACCACCATTCCACCCATCTACCGCCATTGCAATCCCTCACCACCACCTGATTTCAGTCCCATTTGGCTCGATCTCGGCTCTGTTGGCCGTCCTCATCATCACCACAAACACCACCACCCTTCCACCTCCAAAACCTCCATTTTCCCCAGCAGTGGTAGAGGAGAAGTAGTTGGTGGAGAGAAGAGAAGAAGAAAGAGAGAAGAAAAAGAGGAGAAGAAGAAGAAGAAGAGGAAGAATCTGTTGGAGAAGAAGAAAGAAGAAAAAAGGAGAAGAAGAAAAGGAGAAAGAATATGGAAGAGAGGAGAAGAAGAAAAAGAAAAGGAAAAGAGAAGAAGGAAACCAGTCAACAGTGGTGAGTTGAGAGAAATGGGTTTTGACACTTTTACCCTTAACCTTTTAAAATAAAAGAAACAGTGTTAAATTAAGGGTGGGTATCTGGAACAAATCAAACCAAGGGTATGAACCTTGGATTTTGGTAAACCTTAGGTGGGAACATGTCGTTTGCTCAATATCGAATCATCTGGATATTTGGTCTGATGGGTCATGTCAGATTTTAACCTACATTATTCACTGAGTGATTCAGTGATCAGGCGTGTGATGGTTTTACGAGGAATTCTTTTGGTACTAGTAAAATTATAATTCCACATACAATTTATGGAAACTAATAGCTGCAGACCCACGGTGTTCTGGTCCCCACTTCAGTAGTTCTTAAGTAGTTGAGGCAGGATTTGGGCGAGTCGAAAGAGTCAAGCCCAGCTGGGCTCGTTGTCCAGTTGTGAAAAAACTGTCATGCATGTTATTATTTTGGAAGACAGACATATCCTGATTATCGAGTATTCCAGGCACGCTACAGTTTGATGGCATGCCAATCGACGCCGAATTATTATGGAATTTATCTTCCAATAAAGACAATTTGGGTTGTTTGAATCTTCTTGCTATTTATTCTTTCATGCAGGTGTTGTCCTATTTTTTTAAAACAGAATTTTAGCTTTGGGCTCCAACAGTATGAAGGGCTAGAAATTAGAATTTATCTTCCAACACGGGTTGATCATGCACTCTCCTCCTTCTCAGTGAAAAGAAATAAAATAAAAAGAATATATGATAGGAGGGAGGGCTTACTGTGAGCAGATGAGGGCGTTCACTTTGAAATTTGAATTATAATTCTTCTGCCATCATACTTCCTTCCACTATAAACAATATTTTATCCGGAATCACTGTATAAAATCTGATGAGTATTAGACAAGGTTACAAGGATTGTCATCAATTTTATAGCAAAATGAAAGATAATATGAACCATCCTTTCATTGTTATACAATCAAAGTATTTGTAGATTTATGAGAATTTTCAAATTTAAATCAACATTCTATCTTATTATTTTTCAAGTTTTGTCTGCAAACCTTATCACTCATGTAGAAATGAAAAATCTTTACAATCATTTTTAACATGTGGCTATTTTATACATTACATTTAAAAAAATCAGATGTGGGATGTTTCAAAAATAACAACTTCATTCACCAAATTTTTATATTTGTCAACATTTCTAAAAATTTCCCATTTATTTTATGACTTTGTGATTAATAAAAATGATAAATTTAATAAGAATCTAAACAAAATTACTTGTATTTATTTAACCAAAAATGCTATATCCACCGACAGATTGGTACCGAACAATTGCACCAAAATATGTGGATGTTGCCACGTTGGATGATAGAACACTAACTTAAATGGACGGTCGTCCAACGGTTTTGGACGGCCGTTCATACTCCTGGACGACCGTTCATAGTGGAATGGATGAGGGTCCATAAAAAGTAATTTAAAAAAAAAAAAATTTACAAACGATGGACGGTCGTCCATCACATGCGAACGGCCGTCCCTATAAGGGAAGTCAAACTGAGACTGCATTCAGTTTCCTCTCAGATTAAACTGAGAGTTATGGACTCTTTTTGCACTCCGTGTTTGGGTAGTGCACGGTCACCCTGCTCAGCCATAAATGGCTGAATCTTACTCTTCTTCAAACCCTCCGGAAACAAAAGTGAACACAGACAGTTCAGTAGCAATAGAGGCTGTTGCGGCTGCGATAGCATGAGACTTTTTCGGCCATCCTCTTTGGGCTTTCTGGAAGACGGTTGAGTGGAGAGAGATTTGGAAAGTGAAACTTTATGCAATCTGCCATCTAGTGGAGATGGCTTCGCGAATGGGCATTCGGAACCTTTGGGTAGAGTTTGACTCATTATATGCAGCCAAGATGATTAAATCCCAATGCAAGCCCTACCAACCTCATTTGAAACAACATCAAGCTTCTTCTGGTCCTCCCCTGAATCTTGACAGCACCTTGAACGCCACCTCATTTGAAACAACATCAAGCTTCTTCTGGTCCTCCCCTTGAACGTTGACAGCACCTTGAACGCCAGTCAAGTTGGAAACACTGTCTCTCTGAACCAAAGAAGCTATCTGCTTACAAGTCGTAGAGAGGCTTGAAAGCACAATAGTGAGCTCCTACAATCACCCAGCTCCGGCGGGATGCTACCATAAAAGGAGTTGTTACTGAGCTTGAGAATTGCGAGGTTTGAAAGCTTACCAAGCCACCGAGGATTCTCACCACTCAGCTGGTTATTCGACAATGAGATCCAAGTCAAATTGGTGCAGTTGCTTAAACCAGAAGGCACTGGTCCCGACAACTGGTTGAAGTCAAGAATCAATGTCTGCAATGTTTGAATGTTACCAAGCTCCTGTGGGATCTCCCCATGGAGATTATTCAAGCACAGCTTCAAATCCTGAAGCTTGGACAGAGCCCCCAAGCTTGAAGGGATAGTTCCAAAGAGAAAATTGAAGCTTTAAGTGGAGTGAAACAAGCTATGAACAGTTACTAAGAGTTCGAGGAATGGAACCAGTAACATTGTCTTCTCTTGACATTAACGTTGTTGCAGTTACTGGGACATGAGACAAGTGTTTTGGTATCAAACCCAAACAGTTGATAAGGAGAGAGACGAGATAGAGAACGAGAGCTTGATAAAAGAAGTTGTGGTGAAGATGTAGCTGAAGTTGAAATTTAAATATTTTTACAGCCATATGGACGGCCGTCCACATAAGATGGACTGGCGTCCATCTTCTTTTTTGTTTTTATTTAAAAAAAAAAATTTGTATTGCTTATGGACGCTAATCCATCTATTATGGATGGTGGTCCATTGAGGTGGACGACCGTTCGAAAATGTTGGACGGCCGTCCATTTATGAGAGTCTTTTATCATGTCTTACGTGACGACGTCCGAATCAGAGGTCACGTATTTCGGTGCAATTTTTCAGTACCCATTTTTGGTGTCTGTAGCATCGCTGTTATTTAACATATTCAGTTACAGTTGATGTTTTCTCCAATTTAAAGCAAGTGCATCATTTTTATGTTTGTTTGTCTCCATTAGCTAACTTCCAAATTTCAATGTATTGTTGCATAATTAACGATTTGTAAGTATGTTATAGGTATCTTTTATGCTTTAACTTATAATGCATACCATCTGCCATTCAATATTATTGATTATTCATATTGTTGCTACGTGATTTTGACACCAACAACTTTACACGTGGTAAAATATTAAGAAATCACGTGTGAGATAATTATTAAGGTTGATTGTGGTACTATTTCCACAGTAGCATGCAAAAACGTAAAACAATAAATGAACAGTTGACTTTTTTATTGTGGTTCAGATGCTTAAAGCGAATCCTGCATCTATTGTTTTCTTATATGAGTATGTTCCTGGTCGTTAACCAAGATTACACTAGGTTGCGAACTGCGATCTGGTATTACAAGTGTTTGGTGTTCTAAGGATTCCTAAATGTCAAGTCAGTCTATTTCTCGTAGCATGTCTTTGTTATTTTTTTTGTTGAATTCAATGGATCTGATCCTGATTTTGAGAGGGGGAGCTGCCTATTTATTTTCGTTGTGCTCAAGATAATGATTACAACCCTGTAAGTGGGTTAGTGTTGTGCAAATCTCTCCTATCTTCTCATTGGTTGAGAATTAAAATAATATCTTTAAATAAAATAGGGCTTGGATAGGAGTGTGAACCAAGGGCAAACCTGCATGGGGTCACGTGCGGTCAAGTGACCCCACTTGGGTTTTATTTTTAAATTTTTTTTTTCAATTTTGCCCCATAAAAAAACTACATTACAAAATTACAGTAAATTAAATTAATTAAAAATTTTGACTTTCTCTAATAATATATTTCCCCTTTTTTTCTCCAATCCCAACTTTTTCTCTTATCCAACGTGCCCTACTCCATCTCTCCAATCCCTATTTTTCTCTAATAATATATTAAAATTTATGCAATCATTTAATTTTGTGTTTAGTCTATTCATGATGAAAGATTTACTTAACTTTACAAATGAACTTTCTCAAGCACTACAAAAAAAAGATCAAGATATTGTAATTGCTATGAATTTGGTTGAAGCATGTAAGCAAGCTTTACAATTGATGAGGGATAGTGGATGAGAGAGTTTACTTAACAAAGTTTGTTATTTTTTTGCCAAACATGACATTGATATTCCAAATATGGATGACAAATTTTTTATGCAAGGGCGATCACAACGGAAGACTAAAGGTATCACAAACATGCATCATTACCGTATTGAAGTATTTTAGTGTCCTAGATATGTAGCTTCAAGAGTTGAATAATCGTTTCAATGAGATAAACATTAAATTGCTTATTTGCTTGGCATGCTTATGTCCAAATGAAAATTTTGTTGCTTTTGATAAACAAAAATTAATGCACCTTGCTTAACTTTATCTAGAAGATTTTTCTAACTTAGAACTTATAGCGCTTGACTCTCAATTTGATATTTGCATTGGATATATGCTCTAATGTTAAATTTATGGAATTGAATGAGATTGGAGATCTTGCAAGAGTGATGGTTGAAACTAAGAAGGATAGAGTGTTTCTATTAGTTTATATGTTGATAAAATTAACATTGATTTTACTAGTCGTCACTGCTAGTGTAGAGAGAGCATTTTCAGCTATAAATGTTGTGAAGAATCGTTTGCGAAATAGAATGAGTGATTAATGGTTGAATGATAGTTTAGTTATGTATATAGAGAATAATATATTTGATAGTATTGATAATAAAGTCATTATACAATATTTTCAAAAGATAAAATCTCATCGAGGGCAATTATAAATTGTAAAACCCTTCCCCAGTCAGGTATCCTCTGAATATCCCTCAATGAGAATCCAGAGACTTCTTGTCTGGGGAATGAGTTATATTTAGAAATCTTGTGCAAAAATAATAATAATGTCTGAAACATTACTGTAAGATGTACCGCAGCATCAAAATTTGTCCCTTCAAAAATATAAATAAAAACTTAAATTCATTTGGGCATCAATCAATCAAAACATATTAATGTCATTTTCATTCATATGGTGGAAGCTTCAAAAATGTGTTTCAAAAACATTCGTCATTTACATTATTTACATCAAGGTGATAATAAATCATCTCCCCTCACGTGTAGCCCCATTGTCTCTAGCATCCTTCGTTTCTGGTTTACCCACAAAGCAATCAAAAATGAAAGGGAGAGTGCTAATCACTTAATAAAGAATGATTCATTTCATTCTAAATGTGCTATTTGACCTTCATTTAAACATATTTATTAACACACTACTTATCTTTTACATTTAGATATACTTCTCTTTTCTTACTAATTCATATGCTTTTCATCATTTTATCTCATGACTATATAAATATCAATGTGTACACATACAAATAAGTATGTAAACATAGTACACACACATCACATGTCATGATATAACATCTAAATATCATCTAAATATTATCTAACATGAGTATAAATCATCCCATGATGTAAATAACATCGTAACTCATGTAATGCAACTAAATGCATATGAATCATTTAACGTCTAGTCGATCGGACTTTTCTTAGCGTCTTAAGCACTTTATATCATATAGCCTCAAATTCATCTAGAGCTCATATCATCGACAGTTGTGCTTACGCGTTATTTAGCATCTAAATCATATATTCATCTTTCCTCAACCGGTATACGAGGATATGCTTATGCGTTATTTAGCATCTAAAGCATATATTCATATTTCCTCTCATCTAGCCTCAAATTCATCTAGAGCTCATATCATTGAGAGGCGTGCTTACGCGTTATTTAGCATCTAAAGCATAGATTCATCTTTCCTCAACATGTATACGAGGATATGCTTACGCGTTTTTCATCGTGTCTATATGCATCTCTAACATCTTATGGCATATAAATACATGTTTTAGTGAGCTTAATACTTTTGATTCATCTATGGATTATCAATCCATTTACATTACCTCTTGCTCACATTCATCATCTTAAAACATATATTACATTGCATCTTCATGCCATTTCATAACATTAATCATGCATTCGCATCCATGACTATGTATATCTTTCAAAGATATATCTTTCAAAGATCATCTAACTGACGGGTAAACATTAATACACGGCTTAATTACAACGATACATTAATAATCAATTCATAATCATAAGAATTAATTATCTTAAATCTTAAACTTTAACAACCAGAAGTTTATTCTCCAGGCCATTTTCCCCCATTTCTAAAATGAATTGGATCTTGGCCTAATCATAAAAGTGATAGGGCTATGTCTTAAATTTCTAATCCTTCAAGAACCATCTCATTTTGGTTTTTATAACTCAAGTTATGGTCAAAATACTGAAACATGTTTAACATAACCTCTAAACTTACCAAATTCGATTTTTTTTCATATTAACCCATGCCATATCAACTTCAATCGACAATTAACAAATATGTCAACTTATGGATCAATTAAACCTCCCCTTAATAGTGTTTAACATCTTAAAGGAAGGATAAAACCTCACTCCCATGATCATTGCTATAACATTGTAAGTTAATGCAAACCACACATCAACACTTCTAATAGCAACCATTTAATACCATTTAGCCTCCAATACTACAAGTTTTGCCACAATCAACATCAATACTTCATTTTCTTCAATTAAAACATAACAACTCATAAAACATAAATGGCAATAACTTCATGTATAATGAGTTCAATTACACTTGTCATCAACTAATTATATGCCTTAAAGCCTTAATTTAAGGTTTCATTAAAATCTACAAACCCTAGCATAATCCCTAAAGTCATGGGAGATTTTTCCTTACCTTTTTAAAGAATTCCCCCACCAAATCCTTTGCCTTTATCTTCTTTTACATCTTATTCCTACATATATAACGTTATACCTTAACATCTACCCTAAATCTTTAAATCACATCAAAACTAGGGTTTTTATTTCGTACCTTAAACCTCTCAATTTAAAGATCCGAGGCTCCTATCTTGTTCTCCTTGAAAAATTATGCAAAACTTCTTTAAAACTTAGAGACATAAAGTTTGTTTCATGGAGGATTTGAGAGAAAATGGAAGAAATGTTGAAGAAATGATATCTCCCTTGGCTTGAACGAATTTCCTCTCATTTATAGGAAAATTTTCATTAATTTACCAAAATTATGCTGTTGGCCCAATTATTTTAATTATATAACTCATAAGTCCTTAATTCTTCATATAAGGGCATTTTGGTCATTTGGCACTAAACATAATTATTACTTAATTAATGCCATTAAATGCAATTAAGCCTACTCATCCTTGACTTTTACAATGCTTATCCATAGGCAAAATGACTATTTTGCCCTTAATACCCTTTTATGGATATACTGTTCCAAATGAATTGACTATTTTGCTCTTAGTTAAATTTTATGCTTTTTAACATAAAATTAACATCTAAATGACTATTTATGAGTTGTGAGCATACCTTTGACATCTTGGGTATTACATAAATGTATTAGTTAATGAGAATTTTATTAATACAAATATTTGTGTTTATTTTTATTTATGTTAATTGTTACTTTACTCTTTGACCCCCCAAGTTTCATTCCTAGGTCTGCCCCTGGTGTGAACCAAATTCATTCACAGACAAATACTTGAGTCCGTTGGATTATTGACAGCTATATTCTTCTTATCTTCAAAGACGTGACAGATCCTGGATAGTGTAAAACTTTTCTGAACTATGATTGGTGCTCGCTGACATCAACATACGTTAGCTCTTATTTTAGACATAACACACATCATATGTTTATATTGAAAATTCGGAGGTCCTTTTTATTTTATTTATAAAACTACACCTCATTATTTAGATATTAAAAAAAAAAACCCTCATTTCTGTCACTCTACAAATTAAAGGATAAAAGTCATGGTATGAGGCTGAGGAAGACGCACACCATAAAATTGGAAGGGTGTAATAGATGAGGACGACAGAACTCTCTCATGTAGACTATTCAACGCAGGAAAGCTGAAATAATAAAAGTTGAAACAGACAAAAAAAGAGATTAAGAAAACAGTGAGATGATGGCCTCTCCGGCTCTCCCTAAGAGGCTAAGACTCTGTAGTCATCATTGGGCCTACATACCCCACACGAAAGAAAGAACTAGATTTGCCGAGGGACATAGTGAGTATTTTTGGTTAGCGGATTCAAAATATTCAAGTTGAAAATTTATAATAAAATTTGATGGGGGTTAAAATTATAAATACAATAATATTAAATTTATAAACAAATTTTACAAAGATTTATATACAAATTAATGTGACATAAAATGAATGAAAGAGTAAATATAAAAAGTTAAACTCTCATATTCACTTTTCTATTTATTTTATTCCACATCAATTTTTATATAAATCTTCGTAAGACTTATTTGTACATGTAACATTACTCTTATAAATATTATAAACTATTTTTTTTTTAAAGTTTGAATAGGTTTAATATAAATTTAAATAAAGTCAAAATTATAAATACTATAAAATATAAATCTATTTTTTATTTTTTCCAAAATTTGAGTGACTTCCATTGAACTCAAATTTTATAGTGTGATTAAGTCTTTAGATCCGCCGCTCCTCCACCCTTGAGTACTACCATCGCTCACCATAATAGTATAATAATCCAATCCCTACTCTTGAATCATATAATTATAACCCTCCACCATAATAATATGCTGCCTCTTATCCCACTTTTAAAATATTTATATTCAAAGTGCCAACAATTTATTTCCACTCAACTTAAAATGGATCAAAATCTCAATTAATCTCCTTCATAATAAAAAAAATTAATTCAAATCCATCATTTGTAACTAAACTTAATAGTGGGTTATAGCTCCACTCAAAGTCCAATTGATCTATGTCCATAAACCCACCACTAAAGTAGGTCCATGTACCCAACACCTGATACGACGACGTAGTAATCGATCACTAAACCCCGAGGAAATCACTGGATTCTCACCGTCTCCACTCAAAACTTCCAATGGCCGCTCCTTTGCTACTCAGGGGCATCCCGCTCCTGCGCCTTCGGCTGGCCGCCAGGCTCCTCGCCCCGGCCCGAAAAACTATATGTTCAGCCACATCTTCCGAGCCGACTCAGCCGGACGAGAACGTAATTTCTGAAGACAAAACCACCGCAACAGTCTTTACCATGAAGGACCCTCCCAACTACAGCAAGTGGAACGATCCTGATTACAGGAAGTGGGAAGATAAAGAGAATGAGATTCTTCGAGATATCCAGCCTATAATGTTTCTTGCCAAAGAGATTATTCACTCCGACAGGTTAACCTCTATTCGTATATATATATATATATTTTTTGGGTGTGTGTGTGTGGTGGTTTAGTTAATTGTCTTATCTGGTGTTACTGAGCTTAACTGATTTAATTTTATGAGAGCAAATGCATGTTTTGTACTGTTTATGCATTTGTATTGCTATTCTTATTGAAAGCTTTTAATTTATTTTGAATCATTAAACTATTTAGTCATATGTTATTTGATCAGGATCATTTGTGTTAAGCGTGCTAATATCTAACTTAAATTAATTTCTATAAAATGTTAAGGACAGTGTGCTTTTTTTATTAGGTTAGGATACTGTCACTTGAAATTTGATTAAACGAAACTCTTACACGTTCATTTATCTTAAGTCAACTCTAATTGTTCCTTTATCTCAAACCTGATGGTTTAGAAAGTTGTTGAGTTAATAATGTTAAATAATTATTAAATATTATATTTTGACTCCTAATCATGTCAAAGAAGAGATAATAGCTACACATTTGTTGTTTAGAAAAGAATACTGTGGCAGTGGTTACTTTTTTTCTGCAGATCAGTGGTTACATTCTGCTAATTGCTCAAAATATCTTGTTAAACGGATGAAAACTTCAAAGGGAATCAGATTATGCTGAAAACCAGGCTGCTTCCTTCTCCACTTTAAATTTTTTTAGTTGTCATTATTTAATTGGCATAAAAATTTGATAACAATGGGGTTCAATTTCTTAGAAGCCAGCCTTCTTTGGATCCATGGTAGTTTTTTAACCAATATTAGATTTTGAGAGATTGATGTGTGGCTTCATGCTCTATCAAGTGCCTCGTCATAGTGAATTTAGCTTGATTTTGTATAAGAAACTAGAAACTAAATAAATAAAATACTTTCAATTTTTAAACTTTTCACTGGACTGACAACTATAAAGGAACCAAGCAACTTCATATCCTGATATTTAAATAATCTCATAGAAATTTGTGATGCCATCAAAATTTTGTCCTGAGGTTGATCATAATATTCCCAATTCACAAAAATGTGTAGTAAGCATAATTTTTCAGATTTATTTGGCAGTTATCACAGAGACTGTTGAATAATGCTTACTGGTGGTTGAAATTGGAGCTCATGGTCTTTGATGTATAGAGAATTACTCTTTATGAAACAATTATGTCTTCATCTTTAGTTATAATGCTATATTTGATTATATTTCCCGCTTCTAGGTATATGGATGGAGAACGTCTAACAGCAGAAGATGCGAGAGCTGTGGTAGAAAATCTTCTTGTTTATCATCCACATTGTGAAGATAAAGTTGGATCTGGTCTTGATTCGATTATGGTAAGTCAAAGTTTGCATAATCTATTATATAATTATGAGCCCGTTTGGATGGGGTTAATATTTGATAACTGGGGTAATATCTTTTTTAAATTGAGTAGATGACGATGTTTGGTTGATTTGTAAAAAAATTTTCCCGGAATCAAATATGTCAAATAATGGCATTTGTGGGGTAAGTTGCGAGGAATATTATTTTCTTAGTTGAGCATTTGATCCAAATTAGCCTTATATTTATATTTAGAAAACACTCAATTCACTCATATAGATCATTTTGTCCTCACTTTTTAAATTTTCCAGACGATATTGCCTTTGTTATTGTTATTATTTATAGAAATGCCACGAAATGTTGTTGTACCAAGATCTAGCCATCACAACCAGCCACCGTCAACTGTCGTTGCAGGCTGCCAAAAGTCGCCATAATGGCGTACGACTAGCCGTATATGGCCGACCGTGCGTCGGTGAGGCCCTTTCTGGTCATAGATCATAGATACATGGTCAGAAACGGCCAGATCTGGCCGTTTCACAACTAGATCTATGGTATTTTCACGGCCAAAGACCTAGCCATTTCACGGCTAGATCTATGGCCTTGATTGGCCGTATATGGCGGGCCGTGCAACGGTAAAACCCTTTTCGAACATGGATCACATATACATGGTCGGAAACGACCAGATCTGGCCGTTTCAAGGCCAAAGACTTGGCCATTTCATGCCCAGATTTGTGGTATTGCCTTCGGCTGCCCGCGGTGGTGGCTGGCTGCCGGCAGTGGCTTGGGGTGTGTAGGGGTTTTTTTATTAAGTTTAAACTGTTTTTGGTTGCTAAGGTGTTTTTGCTAAATCTGAAAAATAAGGGGTTAAAAGAAATTATTCAAAAAATTAATAACAAAAATACTATTATATTATCATATAAAAATGAGGGCAATTTAGTAATTTGTATAACATACCTATCCATTTATTCTTCCAATCAAATATATTATTTACCAATTTATTCGAACTAACCAAACACATTTTCTAAACATTCATAGTAATCTTCAACGTGATCTTTCTTTCCATTAATATAATATGTCTTTATAATAAAACATTATATGATCCAAACGCCCTCTATTGAATATTTTGTTTTACCTACTGTAATGAATCTCTTGTGCTTGCTATTTTACAAATTACTTTACTTTCAATCTCCATTTTGGTCAATTTGGGAGTTGCAAAACAATTCAAACAATGTCATCTTCAAATACTCTGCATTAATCCTTTACATTTTTTATCAATTAAATCCTCTGTAAAATATTGGTCACCTTGCCTATTTCTTGCAATTGAAGCCCTTGTTCTTTTTGTTCCGTTATCCTTTTTCAATCTTTGATTTTTGATATTCAAGCTCCAAGGAAAGGGGCAGTTGTTGCTCATCATCCATTAGTTTGTTTGTTGTTTCTGCTCATCTTAATAAGTTCAGGAAGATAAGAAAAAGTTTTCATTCTACTCATTGAATCACTCTAGCAATGCATTTTGGTACCTTGTCTTATGAAAAGTAAATATGTAAATTTGATCCCTTTATACTGTCATGGTCAGGGCCAGGTCATCCGTCAATCTAATTTTTAAAATCACTTTTGCTTCAGCAAATTCTCTATAGGAATGCTTCACCTAAAGGAGACTAATCAGAAAGCATCTTGCATGGTAATCATCATGGATACCGATACTTTTAGTTTCTTCATGAGTGGGTGATGAAGTTTTTTTTTGATTGTTTAATTCTGGATATGGCATAATGTGCTGTAGGCTAAAATCGTTCCTCCAAATAATAAGTTAAATTCTTAGCTATTTTTGTTCCAAACACTGATACAGATGATGCTGGATCCATTTATTGTTTGCCAACTGCAACTAGGCCACTGAAGAATTAGCTAACACAGAAAAGCACCATTTTGAATTAATTACAAAACTTTTTTAATCTCTTTGAGCTGAATTTTCTCATGCCATAAATGCACTTTTTATCTTTTCTGTGTTTGAGTCTGCAACCACAAGAGTACAACTTAAACAATATCGAATAACTTTCTTTCCGTATTATTTGTTGTGTTTCTTATGGATGTTGGTGTAAAATGTTCAGTCGTCCTTATGTTAATATACTTTTTTCAGCTGGCTATTTTTCTTTTCTAGTTGCAGGACAAAATTTCAGAATAGATCATGAATTGTTATTATTTTGGAAGACAGACACATCCTCATTATCGACTATTCAACTTGCCAATCGACGCTGAATTATTAGGGATTTATCTTCCAATAAATACAATTTGGGTTGTTTGAATCTTCTTGCTATTCATTCTTTCATGCAGGTGTTGTCCTATTTTTTTAAAACAGAATTTTAGCTTTGGGCTCCAACACTAAGATGGGCTAGAAATTAGAATTTATCTTCCAACACGGGTTGATCATGCACTTTCCTCCTCAGTGAAAAGAAATAAAATAAAAAGAATTTTATAGGAGGAGGGCTTACTGTGAGCAGATGAGGGCGTTCACTTTGAATCATAATTCTTCTGCCATCATGCTTCCTTCTACTATAGACATATTTTATCCGAATCACTGTGTAAAATCTGATGAGTATTAGACAAGGTTACAAGGGTTGTCATCAATTTTATAGCAAAAGAAAGATAATTGAACCATCCTTTCATTGTTATACAATCAAAGTATTTGTAGATTTATGAGAATTTCAAATTAAATCAACTTCTATCTTTATTTTCAATTTTGTCTGCAAACCTTATCACTCGTGTAGAAATGAAAAATCTTTACAATCTTTTTTAACATGTGGCTATTTTATGCATTACATTAAAAAAATCAGATGTAGGATGTTTCAAAAATAACAACTTCATTCACCAAATTTTATATTTGTCAACATTTCTAAAATTTTCCCATTTATTTTATGACTTTATATTAATAAATGATAAATTTAATAAGATCTAAACAAAATCTTGTATTTATTTAACATATCAGTTACAGATGATGTATTCTCCAATTTAAAGCAAGTGCATCATTGTTATGTTTGTTTGTCTCCATTAGTGACTTCCAATTTCAATGTATGTTGCATAATTAACGATTTGTAAGTATGTTATAGGTATCTTTCATGCTTTAACTTATAATGCACCATCTCCCATTCAGTATTATTGATTATTCGCATTGTTGTACGTGATTTTGACACCAACAACTTTACATGTGATAAAATATTAAGAAATCACGCGTGAGATAATTATTAAGGTTTATTGTGGTACTATTTTACAGTAGCATGCAAAAACGTAACAGTAATGAACAGTTGACTTTTTATAGTGGTTCAATGCTTAAAGCGAATCTTGCATCTATTGTTTTTCTTATTGATTTTTTTCCTGGTCGTTAACTAAGATTACACTAGGTTGCGAACTGCGATCTGGTATTACAATGTTTGGTGTTCTAAGAATTCTTAGAGATGTCGAGTCAGTCTATTTCTCGTAGTATGTCTTTGTTATTTTCTTTGTTGAATTCAATGATCTGATCTTGATTTTGTGAGGGAACTGCTTATTTATTTCCGTTTTACTCAAGGTAATGATTACAACCCTGTAAATGGGTTAGTGTCGTACAAATCTCTCATATCTTCTCATGGGTTGAGAACTAAAATAATATCTTTAAATAAAATGGGGCTTGGATAGATGTGAACCAAGTGCAAGCCCACATGGGGTCACGTGGGTCAAGTGACCCCACCTGGGTTTATTTTTAAATTTTGCCCCATAAAAAAACTACATTCAAAATTACAGTAAATTAAATTAATTAAAATTGTGACTTTCTCTAATAATATATTTCCCCTTTTTCTCCAATCCTAACTTTTTCTCTTATCCAGGGTGCCTCGCTCCATCTCTCCAATCCCTATTTTTCTCTAATAATATATTAAAATTTATGCAATCATTTAATTTTTTGTTTAGTCTATTTATGATGAAAGATTACTTACTTTACAAATGAACTTTTTCAAGCACTACAAAAAAAAGATCAAGATATTGTAAATGTTATGAATTTGGTTGAAGCGTGTAAGCAACTTTACAATTGATGAGGGATAGTGGATGAGAGAATTTACTTAACAAAGTTTGTTATTTTTTTTGCCAAACATGAAATTATATTCCAAATATGGATGACAAATTTTTTATTTCTCAAGCACTACAAAAAAAGATCAGATATTGTAAATGCTATGAATTTGGTTGAGCGTTTAAGCAGCTTTACAATTGATGAGGGATAGTGGATGAGAGAATTACTTAACAAAGTTTGTTATTTTTTTGCCAAACATGACATTGATATTCCAAATATGGATGACAATTTTTTATTCAAGGGCGATCACAACGGAAGACTAAGGTATCACAAACATGATCATTACCGTATTGAAGTTATTTGGTGTCCGAATATGTAGCTCTCAGAGTTGAATAATCGTTTCAATGAGGTAAACATTGAATTACTTATTTGCTTGCATGCTTATGTCCTAAAATTTTGTTGCTTTTGATAAGCAAAAATTGATGCGTCTTGCTTAACTTTATCTAGAAGATTTTTCTAACTTAGAACTTATAACGCTTGATTCTCAATTTGATATTTGCATTGGATGTATGCTCTAATGTTAAATTCATGGAATTGAATGAGATTGGAGATCTTGCAAGAGTGATGGCTGAAACTAGAGGATAGAGTGTTTCTATAGTTTATATGTTGAAAAATTAATATTGATTTTACTAGTTGCCACTGCTAGTGTAAGAGGCTTTTTCAGCTTGAATGTTGTGAATAATCGTTTGCGAAATAGAATGAGTGATTAATGGTTGAATGATAGTTTAGTTATGTATATGAAAAGAATGTTTTTGATATTATTGATAATGAAGTCATATACATATTTTCAAAAGATAAAACTCATCGAGGACAATTATAAATTGTAAAACCCTTCTCCAGTCAGGATCCCTCTGAATATCCCTCAATGGAATCCAGAGAATTCTTGTCTGGGGAACGAGTTATATTTAGAAACCTGTGCAAGAATAA